GTCCCCAATTAAGACTAGAATCTGACCCCTTTGATCCCTTTACACCTCTCTCCCCCCTTTTCCCCCTTGTTACTACTGATTGGTTTGCCTAAAACTTTGGTTAACTCTACCCTCCCTTATATTACTGTATTGCCTGATGATGAATTAATCTAAAACGTTCGCTCGCCTAACTTGACTTCGAGAATGAAGATAGTTGGTAACTTTTTCCATTGCCTACCTCACGGAATATGTTTAGTGCTGGATAAGCAATTTAAAATGGGATACAATACAGGCCAACCACTGAGCCCAAACATATGTTATGTATGTCAAATATCTGAGAAACACTTATTCCGAACAGAAAACTGGCTTCATTCAAAGCTGTACCACAAAATGGGAAGGCTGTACCTTCAGTATCTATGTCACTTACTAAGAACTTGATCTGTTTTAAGGCAGGAGGAGCAGCCTGACAAAATTTACGCTGAAGCAGAAGACCTCGGGGAAAACCATTATGTACGGTTATTCCGGAGGGGAGAAACGCGATTCAGTGGATTCTGGGAAGAGTTAGATGTAGTCTTAACGACGGTGTTATCCCGTAATTTCGACCCTACGACTTCCACTCCTCTCAAGATATCGCCCTGCTAAGCCACATTAGGCCATAATAACCTTTCAGATTAAAACTTGGTTTATCCAGTGATAATGTGAACGTCAAAATAGGCTCAATCTACAGTTCTCATCGACTGTTATTTCAAAGGAATAGGTAGCTGCCAATGGCTGTGAGTCCAGTTGTTGTTAAAAAAGGAAAGTACAAAATTGTCATCCAAACCGATACTGGTTACAGAGGCTGTGCGCATTTTAAGTGTCCACAGCCAGGTAGTAGCAAGGGGGGGAAAAACGGGTTGAACCCGTTAGAGCTATCGCCGCAGATGGTTGTGAATAAGACATCATCCTCACCCTACCCTCGCAGCTGGCAAGATTGGCCACGAAAACAGCCATACTGATTATGAGTAGCATATGGTTCCATGAGAAGTGCGTATTGCTAGTGTGACGAGACAGTTCACATAAACAGTAAGTACTAGACGTCGTGATCAAAGATGCCCAAATTATATTATACCTCAGCACGAATAACTTCACTTTTAAATCAGTGTAGGAATTGATTAAAGCTAACAGGTGAATGATCTTAAACTTCATCAACAATTAGAGTTCAGAGGGCAGAACTGTTTAAGTCGCCATTGTAGCACCTGTGGAGAAGTCTTCCTAGTCTAGAGTAAAGAACCACTGTAGTCGCAGAATCATCAGTAACACTATCAGAGGAACTTGGCCGACGGAGTGAAGTCGAAGCTGACTACCCTTATTAACTCTGGTGTGGTGATGGTGCAGATTTACTGGGAAAAAGATCACACGTGCAAGCTTCGAGGTATAACTACCCAAGATTAATTAAAGAGTCCCAAACCTTTGTCCTCGGAGGTATCCATTGGCTCTTTGCTTTCAGAGACTGCGGCGTCTTTGCGCACCACATCGGAGGTGACGGTGGGGGTCGCGAAGGGTGGTAGAGGAGCCTCTGTCCGTAGTTCAGGCGGCTTCGTCGAGTTGGGCAAAATACTACCACTGCTTGATGAAAGGGGGTTTGGTTGGGGACGACAGAAGGCGCTTTTCTTAGCATGATCCTCGGGGAGCGGTACCCACTTGAAAACCATCATTGAGGTGTCCTTTACAGGCACCCATTTCTTCTCCCTGAATAAACCCAAAAGTCGTTCAAATAAAGAACACAGCACAAGGAGTAAGGCAGGAGGTTCGAAGGAATAAAACGCCCTTGGTGGATGAGGTTAAAGAATAAATGAAATTAAGACAAGCGTGGTGGTTTGAGCTATGTAAAACATTCGAGGGTGAAACAGGATAACTGCTTGCAGATAATAATAATAACAATAATAATAGGTTAACTACAAAGTAAGGTAGTGGCAAAATTCAAGAACATACAATATGACCTGTTTCTGCAACAGGCAATATTTTAACCAATATAGTTATTCTTAAACACAGCTCCTTACAGCAGCGAAAGTGCTACAGGGCGGAGGTCTGACGCACCGACTGCCTTATGCAATGCCACGAATCCCAATGACAGTACTATGAAATGGCGACCGTGAACCGCAATTCAATAAATCTGCTTGTCTCCGCTGCTTTTTAGTTAGGGTCTTGAGACAACGCATGGCCTATTCGCCGATGGTATGCTGAATACCACAAAAAAGCGGACACGCAGAGAAGTTTGGATCCCCTTACCTCTAGCTGCGTACACCGAACTGACTACTGGAACGGAAAGGACAGTGGTCACGTAAAAATCGGCGCCAACTGGAGAACGCAAAGAACACGTGGTAAGTGCCAATGGAACTCATCTTATAACAGTGAACGAACGCGAGTACCCAGTAAGTGTAATTTGAAGAGGATTTTATACCAAGGATGAAATCGTAACCTGTAGCATTAAATTCATTTGGAATTTTGGCAAGTTGCACTACAGAACCTCAAGTCACCGAGGCACCCTCCCGAATCCGCAACTGAGGACTACAGGGCTGTTACTCAAACTACTGTCCTTTCTCGGGGCGAGACGTGGAAAGCGTACTAAGGTCGGGCGAGGAAAGCAATCCACTTTCACTAGAGTTACCTCCAGAAAAGACAAAGGTGATGTGGGGGGAGGATTTCAACCACCGAGGACTTGGATATTGTCGTGTAAATACTAATCTGACACTCGTTCACCCCTATCCTCTCACCCTTATTGATTAACATGCATCCCTACCTTATCACACTCGTTGATTGCCGTTCACCCCTACCTTCTTACACTCGTTGATTAACATTAACCCCTGCCTCCTTACGAACGTTTGATTTTTGCCTATATAATCCTAACCGCTATTCATCCCTTTTCAGTTCATGTACGACAACTATAAGATGAGTAAAGCCCAATTCTAGGGTACTCGACTTCTCATTCTCATCGGCTGTTCGGCCATTGCGTACTGAATAACTCGACTATATCCCAATCACGACAAT